GCCACGCCATGTGGTCACCTCCGGGGCAGGCGGGGATTGAACTCTTACAGAAGCAGCTTTAGATTTATCAGTGCTGTGCTTTAACCCGCTGCACCACCAGGGAGGGCCACTTGGTGAGTTTTAAACATGTGAAAAAGAAATAGGGGGAGTAGACCTGGTGTCACAAACGGTTAAGGGCAGCACTATGAAACTATCCACACCCACTGTAGCAGTTCCATCTGAGGCCAGGGAGGTGACCCACAGGGCACAGCAGGTGAATCTTTCCTACTGCTCCCCTCAGCAGTGTATTTCAGTGGATCTGCTTATTCCGCTCCCTACTCTGTCTCTGGTGAATCCTCTGCTCCTCCAACACCATCTCTGGCCTGCATCCCAGCTCTTGTATGCATAAATAAATAAATCCTTAAAAAAAAAAAATAGGGGGAGGGCCCTGCCTGGTGGTGCAGCGGGTTAAAGCACAGCACAAAGAAGCTTAAGCCACTTCCGCAGGAGTTCAATCCCCACCTGCCCCAGAGGTGACCACATGGTGTGGGGACCACATGGTGTGGCAGACCTCTCCTGACCCACCCGCTGCTCCCCTCAGCAGTGTACTTCATCGATCAGCCTGTGCTGTACCCCACTCTGTCTCTGGTGAATCCTCTCACCCTCTGCATCTCTGGCCTGTACCCCAGATCTGTACGAATACATAAATAAATCTTAAAAAAAAAAAAAAAACAGGGGGAGGTTTCAAACTAAAGCAACATCTTTAATGAAGCAGTGGAGACAGAGCTCTTTATTGATCATGTGTCCCAGTTTCATCACTTAGATTCTATCTGGCTTCAAGTCCTCAACTGTAAAATTTGTAATTTGAACGCAATAGCCTCTTCCAGTTTCCTTACCACTCCGACATTGTATGATTCTGAGAAGCCCTGGCCTTAAAATACCTCCACCTTCTAGCTCGGATGTTTGTACTCAAGTTAGTGGCATCTCAGCTATTCTAGAGATAACCAATTGCAGATTGAAAGAGGAAAATCTGAAAGCAATGAACGAGGCAAAAAAAAAAAAAAAGAAAGAAGAAAGAAACATGACAGGTGCTAAAGGGAACATAAATTGAATGCAAATAATGCATGTGGCATGCAAATAAATCAAAAGAGCCATCAACCGGTATCCGGTCTTGACGGGTCTTGACCATGCTGCTGGCTTCTGAGGATGCATGGATAAGACATTGTTCTTCCCTCCCAAGGCGCTCACAGATTGCTGGGTTCCACTCTGTGGTCGTATGTCTCGGGAAGCCCTGGCTGTGAGAAATGTGAGAAAACTGAGAAATGAAAATATTACAAGTGTTTTGAGTGTGCCAGAGACAATGTGAGAAGGCAGTTTCGGGAAGCGACAGGGACACCGACCGCCGTCCTTCGCCCCCTCCCCCTTCGCCAGGCTCATCCCAGACACACAAAAGAAACCGCCTCGGCCCGCAGAGGCGCAGCTTCTCGCCCGGGCC